CAAATTCTAATTAAAACAAAAGTGTTTCTTTGGAGAGGCCTTTCTAGGGAGTGATCTCCCCAGTTACTTCCTCTTAGGGTGCTAGAATTTCCCCTCATGAAGTGTTTATGACACTCTGTAATTGCCTTGTTTGTTTAAGGGTTTTTTTTTCTTTCTTTTTTTAGTTTATTGTCTATCTCCCCTTCATGAGGACATGAAGACTCTGCCTGTCTTTTCCACCCCGTGGCACATAGTAGGTGCTCAAGAAATATTTATTGAATAAGTGAAAACAGAAAGGAGGGCAGGAAGGAAGAATGTCTGAGTTGATCCTCGGGAGTTAATCGAGCGAAGCTGGGGTCGGGAGTGTTGGGCTCAGTTCCAAGCAGAGGGAACAGGTGGCAGTTTGAAGACCTGAATGAAGAAGGTTAATGGCACTAGAAGTGAGAGAGCCAGGAGTGGGAGGCAGGCAGGATTATGTCCATTTTACAGAGGAGGCATCTGAGGCTCAGAGACGGCAAGGGACTTGCCCAAATCGCCCAGTGGGACAGGGTCTGAGTTTAGAATCCAGGTTCCAACTCAAGATTAGACAGAACCTCACTTACTGAGCACCTATATGTATTAACTCATGAGGTGAATACTATCATTCCTTCCTCATTCGACAGATAAAGAAACTGAGGCACAGAGAGGTTGAGTGACTTGCCCAAGGTCACACAGCTAGGAAGTAGCCAAGCCTCAGTCTTTCCCTGGCTCCCCATGGCTACTCTCCACCACCCAGCTCTCAGCTCAGACCCCAGAGGGGGCCGTGACCCTCTCTGGAGGTTTGGGCAAAGCCAGGAAATCCATGAAACCCTCCAAGACCTGGGTTCCCCCAACTCCCAACCGAAAGAGCAAAACCAGCCCTGCTCACAAGGCTTCTATGAGAAAAAAGTGATAAAAAAAAAAAATTATAGGACTTGTGATAAAAATAATTGCAGGGCTCCTGGCAAACAGCCCAGCTGTAGAGATACTGACTAATGATAGGAATTTATGGCCCTTGGGCCCAGCCTTTTCCAGACTCAGGTGATAGGAACAGGGTCACGAGTAGGGTCACAGGCAACTCCCAACAGCCCCTTGTGGTGAGGACACTGAGCCTCTCTCCTAGTGGCCCTCGCACTGATTTCAGGGGCTCTCGGAAGACCACTCCCCCAGCCCGCAGGCCACCTTAGTCATCCATCGGGTGGGCCCTGGTGTCTCTGGTTGCTTGCCTCTCTATAAACCTTAACCGATTAGCACTCCACGGTGACTTAGCCCCTTCATCAATTCTCAGGGCCCCAAGGGAAGGCAGGGAGCAGATTTTGGTGGTGGAGGAGGTGGACCAAGACCCAGAGGGGACAGCAATTCGTTCTTCCTGTATCCAGTGGGTGTTTACCAAAAGCTACGCTGTGCCAGCGCCCTTGCTGGGAAGATGGTAGTGACTGGGACAGCAGTGACTGGCCCACGGTCACAGAGGGCTCTAGGGTGGGGGGAAGTCAGGGTTGGACGCTGGGTCCCCAACTCCAAGGATAGTGGTCTCACCACCACAAACAAGACTGGGAATCTCTTGTCCCTTTGGCCAAATTACTCCCTCTTAGGATGCTAGCCCTCCCTGCAGGTGTTCACAGCTAATTCTGAAAGACATCAGAAATGCACGTTAAGCTGGGTGCGGAGTGCCTATAGTCCCAGCTACTCAGGAGGCTGAGCAGGAGGGTCACTTGAGCCCCACTTGGAGGCTACAGTGGGCTATGATTGTGCCACTGCACTCCAGCCTGGGCGACAGAGCAAGACCCTGTCTCTAAAAACAAAAACAAAACCCCCAAAATACACCTTAGAACCCTCTTATTGTTTTTATAAGAAATAGAGTCTACTTATCACAAAAGCTCAAACAATGCAGAGAAGAGCAAAGAAGAAAGTTCAAAATGCTGAAATTTTACTCCCCAGAGAAAAATCACCCTTAGTAGAGGGAGCAGCCGAGAGCACAGCCCACACGCCAGCTTGCAGGCTGCTGCCCGACATCGAGAGCGGAGCCTCTCCTCTGCCCCAGTTCCCCACTTGCGAAACTGGCACCCACAGAACTGTAAGGAGCACAAAATGACTTAACGCTCGTGGAGCACCTAGGACAGCACCCAGCACAGAGTAAGTGCTACCTACCCAGTTGTTCAGTGTATCCTCCTCAGATGTGGCCTCAAACAGATGCATCACACCTGCTTGTCGTTTTAGGATCTCATTTTTTATTTAGTCAAGAAGATATTCTAGGCGTCTTTCTATGTCTATAAGCTTATTTCTGTCAATGAGAATTTGATTTAAAGGCTTAGCAACTTACACATTGAGAAGCCCCTACTCACTGTAGGTCCACAGTAGCGCTCCCTGAGTGTCTGCTGTTTTCTGCCTGTATCTGCACTGACAGCTTTCCGTAGATCCCCAAGGCAGTCCTGTGAATCTCTATCCCGCAGGTGTGGAAACTAGAGCTCATCCACCTGCAGTCCCAGCTACTCAGGAGGCTGAGGCAGGAGGGTCGCTTGAGCCCAGGAGTTCGAGGCTGCAGTGAGCTATGATTGTGCCACTGCCATGTAGCCTGGGTGACAGAGCAAGACCCCGTCTCTAACAAAAGAAAGAAAGAAAGAAAGAGAAAGAAACTAGGGCTCACGGCCCAAACCTTGCCTGAAGTCACAAAGCTGAGCCTTGTACCCCAAACATCTGGACTCTAGAGGCAGAGCTTAATCCCCAAGCAATAGGCCCCTTGCCCATCAGGACTGAAAAACAAGCACTGAGAAATCCAGAGGGCTTTGGAGTCACGTGAACATGACTTTGAATTCCTGCTGTGCTACAAACTAGCTGCGTCTCCTTGAGCTAGTGCCTTATCCTCTCGGAGCATCAGTTTTCTCATCTCTAAAATGGGGCTGCAGATACCCATCTCACAGCATTTCTGTAAATATTGCTACTACCTGGCTAGTCGCTGCTGTTTTTGGAACAGTATTGCATGTGGGGCTCCATCCTAACTGCTTTTCGGACAATACTCATTTAACTGAGAAGCACAGGTAAAGCATCTAACAAGTGAACAGGAATTTTAGTTCCCTTAGAATGTACATGGGATGGTGGGGACTTTGGCTGTTTTTCCCATTGTGTAACAGCAGGGCCTAAAAGAATGCCAGACACGAAGTAGATGCTCAAAAAAAAAAATTGTTGAATGAGTGAATGACTCTAATTTAGCCAATATCCACGACTAAGGGCTCTGCCTTGCTAAGGGTAACCCACCCTTGGCCACCAACAGTAGGAGGAATAAATATATGTTAGTACATTTGTACAGTGGAATACTACACAGCAATGAAAAAGAGTATGTTACTGATGACCACAACAGCATGGGTGACTCTCACAATTATGTTGAAAGAAGCCAGCCACAAAAGGTCACTATAGTTGCCAGATAAAGTTCAGGATGTCCAGTTAAATTTGAATTTCAGATAAACAATGAATAATTATTTTAGCATAAGTATGTCTCAGGAGAAATTCAAATTTAAATGGTGTTCTGGATTTTTTTCTTTTTTTTGAGACAGAGTCTCACTCTGTTGCCCGGGCTAGAGTGCCATGGCATCAGCCTAGCTCACAGCAACCTCAAACTCCTGGGCTCAAGCAATCCTCCTGTCTCAGCCTCCCAAGTAGCTAGGACTACGGGCATGCGCCACCATGCCTGGCTAATTTTTTCTATATATTTTTAGTTGTCCAGCTAATTTCTTTCTATTTTTTAGTGGATATGGGATCTCACTCTAGAAGGCTGGTCTTGAACTCCTGACCTTGAACGATCCTCCCGCCTCGGCCTCCCAGAGTGCTAGGATTACAGGCGTGAGCCACCACGCCCGGCCGATGTTCTGGAGTTTTATGTGCTAAACCTGACAACCCTAAAGATTTCACATCTATGAGGACCTAATTTATATTAGGTTCAGAAACAAGCAAAATGAATAAATGGTGGTCAAGGCCAGGACAGTGGCTGCCCTGGGTGGGATAGCAGTGAGTAGAAAAGGAATCAGAAAAGTTTTACATCTTGATCTGGATGGAGGGTACTTGTGTGTATACACTTGTAACACTTCACGAAGATGCACACTTCGTATTTTCACATTTTACAAGATTTGTGAATTATAAAAAATTAAACTATTTTTTTAAAATAAAAACCATTTTTAAAATTCTACAGAGCAACTCGTGCCCTATGCATACAGTCTTTAGTAATAGCCTGTAACTGACGGGGTGTTTGCAGGGTTAAAATGAGATAAAGTTTGTCCCTCAACACGTTTTAGGATTTCATAGGACGAGTTCAATAAATGGAAGCCATTGTGAAATGTAAAAGGAACGTTGTGTCACCATCATGACCATCATGACGCCCTTCTGTTTTTCTCTATTGCAAATTGATTGGGGTGCCCTCTAGTGTCTACGTTTTGTCATAGCACCTCAGTTACTGCGAAGAACACCCTTTTTCCCAAGGCTTGGAGTTTCAATTCCAAAGGGCAATGCTTTTTCTTTTTTTTCACTCCAGGACCATATAAAAAGGCACCAAAATCCATATCAAACCAATGGGTCCTAAGTCCAACACAAGCCCTGCCTGTGATAGGTAAGTGTGTCAGAAGGAAGGCAGAAGGGAACACACAGATTTTCTTTCTCCCCTTGATTCAAGCGCAATCACAAACATTATCTAGTTTCACGGGAACATTCATAATAATATTTCAACGTAGCATTGCACAAGCTACAAAAATGCTCTGACATTAATAATAATTGCAGCTAGATTTCAGTGACAGCTTCCCGTACCAGGCACCCCACTAAGAGATATACGTCCATTTTTATCTTTAATCTTTAAAATGACCTGTGAGGCATATATTGCCTCGTAGCCTGCTGTTTTCCCCTTCAATAGTATGTTTTGGGCATCTTTCCATGTCAATAAATACAGCTGGGTCGGTACTTGAGTCAAAAGCTGAGAAACTTGAACAGTCAATAGCCACTGCCCAGGTGAAGATCAATAACAGTTAACATTTATTGAGTGCTTTATTACACACCAGGAGCTGGGCTAATTGTTTAACATCAACTATCTCTCATTTGATCCTTGAGGCAATCTCAAGGTAGTATCTAGTATTGTTCAGATGAGGAATCTGAAGCTCAAAGAGGCTCAAGAACACTTTCAAGGTCAGACAGTTCCTGTAAATGGCGGAGCTGGGATTCAAACCCAGGTTGGTGGGATTCTGGTGCTGGGCTCTCAACCAGCATATTCGGAGGGCCATACGAAGGAGGATACAAGGGAAGGTCTTCCAAGCAGGGAAAGGATCCCCCCACCAAGCCTGAAAGCAGGAAGGAGGGTGGTGTGGGCCAAGGCCACTAAGGAGGCAGTTTCTAAAAAGCCACGGTCCTCCATGGAATGGACAGTAAGGCTTCTCGGAGGTGGCACCATTTGGATGGATTCTATGTCTCCAGCCAAGAAAGGAGGTCTTTAAATAGCTTACCAGCTCTGTGGTTCCCTGTCAGACGTACATGGATTCAAATCCTAATTGTGCCACTCTCCAGTTTTTGTTGTTGCTTTTTTTTTTTTTTTAATGGCATTATTGGCCAGGTGAGGTAGCTCATGCCTTTAATCTCAGCACTTTGGGAGGCCAAGGCAGGAGGATCACTTGAGCCCAGGAGTTCAGCCTGGGCAACATATCAAGACCCTGTCTCTATAATAAAAAAAAAACCAAAAAAAATGAAAACAGTATTATTGAGATATAATTGATGTACAATAAACTGCATGTATCAAAATTGCATAATTTGATGAGTTGTGAAATATGCACATACCCATGGAACCACGACCACAATCAAGATGATGAGTGTTTCCATCACCCCAAAAGTTTCCTTTATAAGTCATCCCACCCCCATTCCCAGGCAATCATAGTCACTATAAATTACTTTCTTTCACTATAGGTGGCTCTACATTTTCTGGAATTTTATAGAAATGGAATCATACAATTTGTGCTTTTAAAAATATGACTTCTTTCACTCTGTGTAATTACTTTAAGATTTGTCCATGTTTTTATACACATCAATAGTTTGTTCCTTTTTATTACTAAGTATTACAGTTTTGTTTTTTTTTTCCCAGACAGAGTCTCACTCTGTTGCCTGGGCCAGAGTGCCATGGTGTCGGCCTAGCTCACAGCAACCTCAAACTCCTGGGCTCAAGCGATCCTCCTGCCTCAGCCTTCCAAGTAGCTGGAACTGCAGGTATGCGTCACCATGCCCGGTTAATATTTTCTATTTTTAATAGAGACGGGGGGTGGGTCTCACTCTTGCTCAGGCTGGTCTCGAACTCCTGAGCCCAAACGATCCACCCGCCTCGGCCTCCCAGAGTGCTAGGATTACAGGCGTGAGCCACCGCGCCCAGCTGGGCCAGACTTTTTAATTGCGGTCGTTCTGGATGCACTCATTTTTTCAAACTGTGGATCCCATAGATGGTTTCTTAGACTTTCTGAGCCTCAGTTTTTTTCATGTGTAAAGTGGAGATAATTATATCAGCTCTGACATGTAAAGATGGAGTGAACTAGCACATATGCAGCACGTAGTATAGGCATCAGGACATAGTAGGTGTTTCATATAAGGCGGCTATTTTATTACACTTGAACCCTCAGCCACCTCATGATCTGGCGACTTACCCCAGGACACAGCATCCTCATCTAGATGGTAAAAAGCTGCTTCCCGGACATTCAGCAAGTGCTCTCAGCCTGGAGGAGTAGCAACAGCACGTTGACTGTGCCGGGCCCTGTGCTAGGTGCTTGCGTATGCTGAACCCGTGCAAAGCCCTGTGGGGTATGTGGTTGTTTTCCTTCCACACTGCAGATGAGATAACTGAGGCGTAGTTACCAGTCACTGGCCAAGGTCACACAGCAGTGAAGTGATGGTGCTGGGATTCGAATCTATGTCAGTTGATTTGGGGTCCAGAATTCTCGCTAATGAAGTGCCTGGATCAGGGCTAGTGAAATGGCCCAGTCACAAACGCACCTCCTGATGCCCAGGGTCATCTTCAGTCCCCCAGAAGCAGAGCCTGAGGCAGGGATCAGGTACATGTGGTTTATGAAGGAGGAACCTGCAAGGGATGAAAGGAAGCAGGGCTGGGGTCTCAGGTAAAGTCTAGCAAGGGGACTGGCCTTTTGCACCTTTGTGCCAGTCAGGTGTTGGCTGCAAGCCAGCGTGGGTAAGGGGAATAGCCTCCTGGGTGAGGTGATTCCTCCTGGGTGGGTGATTGTCCTCCACAGGTGGGGGGCGGAGACCAGGAGGGGAGAAGAAGGGTCTCGCTCCAGTGGCCACCATCCCAGCTGGCTTTGAGCTGCCCCCTTCTGTCGTGGAATGCCGCCATGGGCTCCCTGGAGATGGCCATCCGCACAGGGCCCCTCTCACCCTTGGCCTTGGGGGATGCACTTCTCCTCCCGAGGGTCCCTGGCAGCTCCTTCCTCAGCCCTTAGGGGTCCGACCTCCAACTCCAGCATCTTGCTGCTGTCACCCCTCCACCTCTCCAGGAAGCCCTAGGGGACAGGACCCAAGCTGGCCACTTGTGGGTGGGTGCTCCCTGCCCATGGCTGGTCCATGGGAAACACTCGAGCAGCCTGTGCCCTGAAATGCCTGGGAGTGGGGCTCACCTTAGCGCATCCACACTCTCCGGCTCCCTTGGCAACGCAGCCGGGCAGCGCATTCCTCTCCCCCTCTAGACGTCCGCGCCTACATCAGACCCCTGGGTCCCACTCGGGAGTCACACAGGAAGCTCTCCAAATAGTGCCCCCTCAAGGAACAGTCCCCAGGACCACATTCCACCCTTCTGAGCAAAGGGCCACCAAGGAATTCTCGGCTCCCTCTTCCCATCATGTGAGAACTGTGGGTGAATATGGGGGTTTGAGTGGTCATGGCTAAATTTTAGCAGCTGTGGGCTTTAGACTGTGCTCCTGAAAAATGATCACCGGTTGTCACTGCAGAGCTTCCCGGCAACGCTGCACAAGTCCTGTCCACCATCCTGAATCTCAGTTTTCTCATATGCTTACTGGGGTGACAACATCTACCCGATGGGGTTGTTGTGAGGGCTGGGTGACGTGGTGAACTTGCAGAGTGACACTCCAGGATTTCACAGACACAGACCTGCAATGCTGTCTGTGTGTGACCATTCACCAGTGATTTTGCCTCTCCGACTCTGTCTTCTGATCCGTCAAATGATACTCACGACGGCCTCTGCTCTGCGGCATCTCTGAGGTGAGCTGAGCAAACATACACAAGGTGCTTAGCGTCCGCCTGGCTGAGTAAGAGTTCAGCCCGTGCTGGGTGTTATTCCTACAATGGAGAGTGGGCTGACGGAACAGGGGGTGTGGGAGCTCCGCCCCTTCCCGTTCCCTCACTATTCCGGGCCCTGTTTTGGAAATACTTCAGCCCGGCTGGGATCCAGGGCCCTGGGGAACGCAGAGGACGTCCTGTACCTCCAAGTGGCCCTGCTGACTCAGATTAGGAAATCAATGTGGGACCACAAAAACACAGCTGGGCTCTTACCTCTTCTGGGAATACGCACAGCCAACCTGTGCGCACCTCTTTATCCCCAGGGGCTGGCTCTGTTCTAGGTCCTGATCCTGAGGCCAGCGGGCAAAAGGCTAGCACAGCAAGAAACAGGAGTCTCTGCCCCCTTAAAGCACTCCAGGCCCATGGGTCACAAGCTTCGCACGACCCTCTGATTGGGGTCAAGCACGTCTGGTGCTTGCCAAGCCTCTGACTTCTCCCAGCCCTCGCCTGGACGCTTCTCAAGCCAAGCCAGGCTCCGGACCACTGGTTGGGCAACCCATGACCTCAGACTAGGTCAGACCCATCAGGTAAGCATCTGTTTAAGAGTATAGAACATTTTGTTCTTTAGAATCCCAAGGGACAGAGTCTGAACCTTCCCCACCCCCAGTTCAAGCTCCTCTCCCATCCCTTACGGCCAGTTACTTACTTTGTAACTTTGGGCAAGTCCCTTCGCCTCTCTGGGTTCCAGTTTCCCATCCCTCAAGCGCAGGCTAACAAGTACCTCTACCTCCCAGGGCTGTTTGTGAGACTCATGTGACGAATGTCAAAGGACGGCACGCACACAGGCAGGCACTCAATAAGGGGGGGAGTTATTATTGCAGACAGGGGCTCTGTAAAAAGTAGAATGGTATATATATCAATATGACAGTGGGTGACAGTACAGACCTGGGAGCCAGACTGCCTGAGTTCAAACCCAGGCTGCTCTGCCACCTCCTATGTGGCCATGAGTAAGCTCTCTGAGCCTCAGTTTTATTCTCTGTAAAATGGCTATAATCATAATCAGGTTGTGGGGATTCAATTAGATCAGATGCCCTGGGAACAGTGCCTGGCACATAGTAATCACCTAATAAGTATTAACCATTTTTGATGAGTCGGGGTTTTTGAAAGGACTCACAGGGAACTCATTTTAGTGAGCATCTACTATGTACCTGGTACCACCAGGAGCCAAACATTCATACACCTGTATATGTACATATACACACACATACAGTGAGGCGGGTACTTCTGTTTTCATTTTTTGAAATCTTTATAGTGTAAAACAAAACACATGCAGAAAACCACACAAATTAAATTTGTAGCTTATTGAGTTATTTCAAGGCAAACACCCTTGTAACCACCATCCAGATCGAAAAATAGAACTTTTCCAGCCACCCCAGTAACACCACCCCCAATATACCCCATTCCTAAAGTAATCACAGCTGTTCCCCTCAAAAGTAACCACTAACATGACCATTATAGTAATTATTTCTTTGCATTTCTTTAATGTCCTACCATGTACAGACAACATCCCCTGTAGCCCCAAATGCCAATAGTGTCAAGATTGAGAAACTCTGCCCTGTACCAAGGTGCCATCCTAAATAAGCCTTACCTTCGAATCAATACTAAAGCTGGTCCTAGGAGACCGTACGAGCTCAGAATCACATGCCTTGAAAACAGAGACAGCTCAGGCATTTCTAGCCTCCTCCAGCACATACCCACCCAATGCCAGGATTTCTTTCTTCAGAGACTGGATAAAGCTAGGAGAGCAGGACGTTTGGAGTACTCCAAACCAAGACACAGGGCAAGCTGCCCTCTGCTGATCTTTCCGCGCGAGAGGCGGGTGATCATAACCAATAAGCAGACATTTCATGATACAACGTACCAGGACTCTGCACGTGCCATTCTGCTGAATCCTCCAAGGACCCCCTAGAAACAAGGGCCACATGCACATTTTATACGTAAGGAAATGGGTCTTTTCAAGGGGTTACTAAGAGACTCTCACTTCTGAGTGTCCAAGGCAGAAGACAGAAGTTCAAATCCCAACTCAACCACTTAGTCATCATGTGACCGTGGGCAATTTCTTGTCCTCTGAGCCTGTTTCCCAACCTGTAAACACAAAAATATAGATCTGTATGACCTTTAGAGCAAAGTAAAATTTGGGACTGTGGTGTCATACAGATGTGAGCTCAAATCCAGCACTGTCATTGACTATCTCAATTGAGCCCTTAGGCAAGTGACATTTTCTTTCTGGATTTTAGTTTTCTCTTTTGCAAATAGGACAATCCTAGCTTGCTGTTCACAGGGGTGTTGTAAGGCACGATTGAGATCATACAAGCACAGTGCCTGGCATGTGTTATTGCTTTTGAGCAAGTGGAAATTCTTTTAGTCATTGTTGTTTATCTGAGACCTTCTAATCCTGAGATAACTTAGTTCTCTAAAATGTAACCTCCTTGTTCAGGAGGAACAAGAAATAATGGCCCTCAATTGAGGGATGGGGCAGAGGCTTCAGGGTCATCTTTGAAACCCTTCCCAGCCCTGCCCTGCCCTTGAGACCAAGTTCTTGTCCTCCTGCTGGCAGCATCTAGGCTTGTAGTCTGGGCTCCCTATACCGCCAGTAGATCCTGGGTTTGGGTTGAGGAGACAAGCTTATCGCAACACCAAAGAAAGTGTGGTTTGGACAGGGTTATCCCTCACCCTTTGCCACAAGAGCTGCCATTTATTAAGCACTTATTGTTTGCCTGGCATAAGGAAAGATGTTTCCTCTTATGAGTTCATTTAATCAGCTTTTTGCCCATGAGGAACTAGAAGCTTTAGGAGTTTGAGTGACTTGGCCAAGGTTACACAGCTGGGATTAGGGTTGCCAGATTTTGATAGGATAAATAGTGTCCCCCGCCCACCCCCCCCACACACACAAGATGTCCTCATGCTAATGTCCGAAACCTGTGAATATCTTACCTTACCAGGTAAAAGGGATTTCATAGATGTGATTAAGTTAAGGACCTTGAGGTGGGAGGATTGTCCTGGATTATCTGGGTGGGCCAAGAGTCCTTACAAGAGCGGGTGGCAGGAGGAGCAGAGTCAGTAGTAGGTGTGACAACAGAAGCAAGTGGTTGAAGTGATTTGAGGAAGGGGCCATGAGCCAAGAAATGCAGGTGGCCTCTGCAAGCCGAAAAAGGAAAGGAAACAGATACACCCCTGAAGTCCCCAGAGAGAATGCAGCCTTGCCAACACCTTGATTTTAGCCTTCTTACCTACAGAACTGTAAGCGAAAAATTTGTATTGTTTCAGCCCACTAAGTTTGTAGTAATTTGTTATAACAGCAATAAAGAACTAATACATAGATTTAACAAAAGCAAAACATTACAGAACAACAACCAGGATCACCAGTTAGATTTGAATTTCTGATAAACAATTTGTAAAGTATAAGTCTGTCCCAAATGTTGCATGAGACATACTTAAAAAGAAATTGTTGTCTATCTGAAATTCAAAATTTAACTGAGTGTTCTGTATTTTATCTGGCAACCCTAGAAATGATGGAATGAGAGCCGGAGTCAGAACTCACGACTCCCTGGCCACCCTCATGCTGCCTCCCCCCAACCCACACACACACTGCACACAGTCTAGCATCTGGCAGAGACTGCTATGTCACCTGGTTTGGAATCTCTGCCTTTGGAGCAACCAATCCCAGAGCAGCTGTGGTGGGAGGGATTCTGGAATGCTAATCCTGAGGGCTGGGTTTGAAGCCCTTTACCACACTGATTGCCAGTTTGCCTTTCATGACATAGGAGAATTGTATAAATAAAAGGATTTAATGAGATAATAAATGTAAAGCACCAGGTACATGTTAGTGTTGTCAGCGGAAAAGAAGCCAAACTCTATAAAATAATTTAAAGAGGTTTATTCTGAGCCAAATTTAAGGACCCAAGAAACCTTGAGCAAGTGGCCTCGCTGTGGTTGGGTTACAGCTTGGTTTTATACATCTCAGGGAGAAGTCATAAATTAATACATAGAAGGCATACATTGGTTTGGCCTGAAAAAGTGAGCAGTCTGTTAATCAGAGTCAAGCTACCGGCCATATATTTGTTGTGTAAGTTGAGGCCCTGCAGGTTTGTCTAGCAAAGCCTTAGCCTGTTAGTGAGTTACAAAGGATATTTACAAGAAGGGTGGGGGGTCATGATGAGGCATGTCTGACCTCTCTCCTCGCCGCAGGCAATTCAGTTTTAGGGTATCCCCTTGACCAGGAGGGGGTTCATTCGGTCAGCCGGTGGGGAGAAGCCTTAAGATTTTATTTTAGTTCACAGTGTATTCTTAGAAAATGGCAGCTTCTTTCCTTCCTTCTCTGGGCCTCAGTTTCCCCATCTATAAAGCTGGTTTGACAGGCTCCTCGCGCTCTCGATCCAGACCCGGCCCCACAGCTCGGAGTCCGGCCGCCAGGTGGGGACAGAACGCCTGCTTTGCGGGGAGATGTCGCACATGCGCACTCCCGGGCGGCGCCCCGCCTTCCCACGCCCTGGATACGTCACTTCCGGCGCGAGGGGCCGGGCCTGGCCGGGCCGGGAGTGCGGGTCGGTTTTGTGCGCGCTGCAGGACGAGGCTCCAGCCGCCGATTGACCCGCGCTCCGCCCCGTAGCCGGGCCGGTGAGTGCCCGCGAGCCCGTCCGTGTGCCCTGGGGACCGAGGAGAGGGCCCCTGTGAGGGAGGGATAACCGGAAGTGGGGCCCAGAGGAACGAGAGACCCCAGGAAATGGGGACACTTGGGGAGGGGGTGACAGCCGGAAGTCGGGGCCTCGGAAGGTTGTCAGCGGGCTATGGGGGTCTCTGGGGTTCCAGGAGAGATGGCTGCCTGACCTGTCCTTGTTGGGGGCTGGGGTGGGGAGGAAGGTGATGCTCCACAAAATGATGGGCTCTAGGTAGGGAAGATGCCCAGCTTCACCCCAACAAATGATGTTTGCATTCCATCTAAATCCCCACCTATCAGCTCGCTCAGCAGACTGACTGAGCCCTGGAGATTAAACATAAAGCTCCAGGTGGAGGGTAGAGAGCTGAGCCCAGGTTGGGGCTAGACACATCCTTGCTCTGCCTCACAAGGTGTGTACCTTTCGGCGCGTCGCTTAACCTCTTATCTTCTGGTATTTACAGAGCACTGACATGTGCCAGGCACTGGGGCTGGCAGTGAACATGGCAGGCAAGTTCTCTGCCTTCGTGGGATTTGCATTCTAGGGGACAGTTTCCTCCTTTGTAAAGTGAGAACAGTAATAGTGCTGTCGCCATATATGGTGAAGATTACATGAGGAAACGATGTATGGGGCTTAGCACCATGCTTGATACATGGTAAAACACTCAAGTACATATTATCTCTTCTCATCATTCCTCTATAATATAAGCTTCGTAAGGCAAAGAATGAGATCGTTTGCTGCTGTGTGCCCAATGCCTGTGAGCACAACGCCTAACACATAGGGTTGGGATCAGTAATCACTTGAGGAATGAATGGGTGGTGAAACTGACTCCGAGGAGTTTGATAGCACTGGACTGCAATTTCTAAAGAAGAAATAGGAGCCCAGTGCTGTAGAAAACTGGAGAGAATCACCTTGGGTGGGAGGCAGGGAAGGCTTCACAGAGGAGGTGACATTGCAGCTTGAAGGTGATGAGATGTCTGGTTAGGAACAAACAAGGAGAGGAAATATCAGAAGTGCACGAGGTGTTCTGATAATGCTGGGCCATTTGTTTGTTTTGGCTGGCATTTAAGGTGCATCGAGGTGGGAAATGAGGCTGGAGAGGGGCCTTCAGGTGAGGCCTGTAGCCCATGGATAACTGCAGTTTATCTCCCAGGTAAACACTAGATGGAGATTGCATGCATCTCTTGGAGACTTCCGTGGAAACAGAGCCATTATTGTTGTTCCATTCCTCACTCAGCATACCTCTGCCAAGCAGATTAAACTCATTCAACAAATATTTATGGAGTGCAGACCTTGTGTCTAACACCATGTTAGGCGCTGAGCTTAAGGTGATGAGCCAGACAGACAGGGGTGTTGCTCATAAATTGCCTACAGACAATTACAACGGCATGGGAGAAGTGCTATGCCAAAGAGCTCTGGTGTGGGGGCCGCCTACCCTGGCTTGTCAGCAAACGCTGCCTGCTTCAAGCCACCATCATCCCTCACCCGAATTATTGCAGTAGCCGCTAAGTGGTCTCTTTGCCCCAGTCCTCGCTCCCTTACGGTCCATTCTCAGGACAGCAGAGTGATTTTTTTAAAATACTAATCAGGATCATGTCACTCTTCCCCAAACCCTCCATGGTGTCCACCTCACTCAAAGTAAGTCACAATACTTGCCCACAAAGCCCTGGCCTTTGGGGTTCCCAGTAAGTCTCTGCAATCATCTGCTAGTATTTTCTACCTTGCTCACTTGGCTCAAGCCACACTGGCCTCCTTACTGTTTCCCTAAAAAGCGAGGCATGTTCCTGCCTCAGGCTTTGCACTTCTTCTTCTTCCCCCAGATATACATGGTTCACTCCTCCTTCATCTTTGCCCAGCTGTCACCAGCGTGAGGCCTTCCCTGACCACCTAATTTAAAATTGCAGCCCCTATCCCTGGGTACATCCAACCCCTTTCCTTGCTCTGTTTCTCTCCATGGTACCTACCACCTTGTAGTGGACTATATAGTTGATTTTGTTTATTGTGTCTCTCTCACTAGAATCTAAGCTCAATGAGGACAGGACTTTTTGTTCACTTCCATATCCCCGGTACCTGGAAGAGAGCCTGGTACACTGTAAGTGTTCGATGTCTGTTGAATGAATGAAGTGGTAGTTCATCAGGACTTAAGGGTGAATCAGTGTTGGTCAGGGGAAAATCTAGAGTGAGCATGCTAGACGGAGGAAACAGGATGTGCACAGGACAAGAGAACACACCTTTGGGGAGAAGCAGAAAAAGCTGGGTAGAGCTGGAAGTTGGAATGCGAGGAATAGAGAAGGCAGACCTAAGATTGAGAGGGCATGGCCTGCTCACTCTGGCTGTAGTGGAAAG